ATTGCTAGTGAAGTTGGAACCTAACCCCCCTCCCCCTCTTCTTTTTGCTTGTCAGGTTTTTAGCTCACCTCAACGAAGTTGGGGGGAGCTTATGTGATACCCTCGGCGTCGGCGTCGGCGTCCCGGGTTAAGGTTAAGTTTTTTGGAGCAGTTTTCTTTTTAAGTACTTCTATGTCCTATATTGATTAGACATGCATGGAAGATGTTGCTAGTGTGTTTCATTGTACCAGTCAAAGTTTCAGATGCTGCAATTTCAGCAAAGGAATGACCAGGTTAATGTTTTTGGTGCAGGTTAACATTTTTGGTGCAGTTTTTGGTGTAGGTCTCATTTCCGAGTAACTATAAGCCCTATGTTGACCAAACTTACATGGATGATACATCTTAGGATGCATGCTACCAGCCTTGCTTCGGATGCTGAATCTGACCTACATTTTCCGGTTGAGTGAACAGGTTAAAGTTTTTGGTGAAGGTTTCATTTCGAAGATACTTTGAGCCCTATGATGACCAAACTTGCATGGATGGTACATCTTAGGATGTATTCTACTAGACTTGCTTCGGATGCTGAATCTGACCTACATTTTCCGGTTGAGTGAACAGGTTAAAGTTTTTGGTGCAGGTTTCATTTCCAAGTTACTATGAGACATATAATGACCAAACTTACATGGATGATACATCTTAGGATGCATACTACCAGCCTTGCTTCGGATGCTGAATCTGACCTACATTTTCCGGTTGAGTGAACAGGTTAACGTTTTTGGTGAAGGTTTCATTTCGAAGATACTTTGAGCCCTATAATGACCAAACTTGCATGGATGGTACATCTTAGGATGTATTCTACTAGACTTGCTTCGGATGCTGAATCTGACCTACATTTTCCGGTTGAGTGAACAGGTGAAAGTTTTTGGTCAGGTTTCATTTCCAAGTTACTATGAGACATATAATGACCAAACTTACATGGATGATACATCTTAGGATGCATACTACCAGCCTTGCTTCGAATGCTGAATCTGACCTACATTTTCCGGTTGAGTGAACAGGTTAAAGTTTTTGGTGAAGGTTTCATTTTCAAGGTACAGTGTACTATGAACCCTATAATGACTAAATTGCATGGATGGTACATCTTAGGATGCATACTACCAGACTTGCTTCGGATGCTGAATCTGACCTACATTTTCTGGACGAGTAAACAGGTTAAAGTTTATGGTGCAGGATTCATTTCCAAGTAACTTTGAGCCCTATAATGACCAAACTTGCATGGATGGTACATCTAAGGGTGCATTCTACTAGGCTGGCTTCGGATGCTGAATCTGACCTACATTTTCTGGATTAGTGGAAAGGTTAATTATTTTATACAGGTTTCATTTGCAAGTAACTTTAAGCCCTATGTTGACCAAACTTGCATGGATGATACATCTTAGGATGCACACTAATGGACTTGCTTCAGATGCTGAATTCGACATACATTTTCCAGATAATAGACCTCGTAAAAGTTATGGGTGCAAGTCTATCACCAAGAAACTATAAGGCTTATATAAACCAGTTGCTTAAATGATGCATCAAGGGATGAAAACTCTCAATCTTGCTTCAGATGCTGGATTTTAATTACATTTTCATGATGAAGAACTAGTTTTTAGTTTTTATATAGGTCTATTCCAAAGTATCAAAATTGCATAAATTTTGCATTTTTGGATGTACACTTTTTGTTGGTTAATTGTGTGACTTAATTTGCCTTACTTAAAGACAACACACGTTGAGGTGAGCTCTGTAATCTCTGATTACCTATGTTTTATGAAGGTATATAAAAAAAAAATTCTTACACTTAGCAACCCCCCCCAACACTTTCAATTTGCTTCCGATGCCAATGTTTGGAGACCAAGGAGGAAAGCAGAGAATTAAGCTCTCAGGCTTTATATAATAGTTTTATAGAAAAAAAAGTTTTCAACTTAATTCAGCTAAACTTAATGTGAAATGAATGCAATGTGCTACAAAGTATAACCAATAAATTATTAATTATATGTATATTTTGGTCACTTAAGATGGTAGGGCGGGATTTCTGCCCCCTCCCCCTACCCAACCCACCACTGCACATGTGTTATACGATGTGCTTACTCTTTTAAAAATAAGGAAAGTTAAAGACTGATAAAAATCTTAGTAAGATCAGAAGTTTAAGACTTTTATCAAAACAAAAACAAAAAAAGAAAAAGAAAAAGAAAAAAATTTCTGCACGACTATTTGTTTTCAGATTAAAGTAAACGCCATTGAATTTCGACGTGACTTTAATGCACAGTCGTAGTGTTAAGGCTTTGCACGTTTCAAGGTTGTCAATCATTTGTCGCTTAAAGTTTTTATTAAAGATACCACTCCAAATTCGCTGAGAATTTCTTCTACGACAGTTTTTTCTCCCGCCAATTTTAGTTCTTTTCGGAACGCGGAAAATACGTTATGCTCATATAAAGGCCGAGGATACACGTGTTCGCATAACGTAATAGTGAATCGACATAATGTAGAAGAGTGCGCACAGTATGACATGAGCTTTTCACATAATATCATAAAGAATTGACGTAATGTAATGAAAGGTTGACACAATGTAATTGTTGTTTAATTACATGTCATAAACAGTAAACAACGAAATGCAAGTTGACAAAATATAATTGTAGTATGTGTAAATCTCATAAAGTGTTGACATAATGTAAAGGAAAGTTGACACTATGCAAGGGTAGTGTGGGTTAATGTCATAAATAGTTGACATAATGTAATGGAAGGCTGACATAATGCAATAGTAGTGTGGGTTAATGTCATAAAGAGTTGATATAATGTAAAGGAAGGTTGACACAATGCAATAGTAGTGTGGGTTAATGTCATAAAGAGCTGACATAATATAATGGAAGGTTGACATAATGCAATAGTAGTGTGGGCTAATATCGTAAAGAGTTGACATAATGTAATGGAAGGTTTACACAATGCAATAGTAGTGTGAGTAAATGTCATAAAGTCTTGACATAATGTAGTGGAAGGTTGACGCAATGCAATGTTGTGTTCTGCTATAAGGCAGTGACGGCGTTCCATAAGTTTCAATTGATTGATGTTTAGCTGATATACTGTAAACCGACTTTAATTCGCGATGACTTTATTTCGCAATTAACCAGGGTTTAACTAGTTTGCGACGATTAATTTTCGCGATTAAGTCTTTTTTGATCTGTTGTTAATAAACAAAGACACTTTAAGGATTGGTTCGCGGTGAGAAATATTCGCGATTATCAGACTCTCGCAAACTTCGCGAAAATTTCTCGCACGCGAATAAAAGTTGGTTTAGAGTAACTAAGAATCAGACGGAGATAATTTTTGATGATTTATTCTTTTTTTTGTAGAACCTACAACATCAAACCCAACCAGTAAGTACCTAGATTAATACTTATTGTAACTTTTATTTTTCCCTGGACTTTGACAAATGTCTCCCTTTCATTGGATTATTACATACAACTTTCCTCTATCATTCTGCTTCAAAAGATCTCATCCTTTATTGAGTTTGCTAGTATGAGATATCAGTTTGATCTATCTCATAGATGGTCATGACATTTTCTCCTCACAGTGTATAAGAATGTCTAAACCTGATTTATTCATGTAGATACAGCAAAACTCGTTTAATACGAACATGGATATTGCGAAGTTAGGGATATAGCGAAATCATCTTGGATCTCCAGCTATATAAATTTAATGACTTTCTTATATGGTTATAATGAATTACGAAGCAATTTATAGGTCCCAGTGACTTGGTTATAACAGAGTTTTGCTGTAGTCAGTACTACTATATAAAATCTGTAGGAGATCAGTGCTTTCAGTGAAAGAGACTTAAAATAGAAAGGCACCCACATGAAAAATACTTGAGACTTTATAAGTGTTGCATAGAAATGTAGTCATTGAATAATTATTCTATATTTAGCAACACCTAGTGCTCCAAATTCAACTACAAAAGCCCCACCCCCCACGACTCTGGCTCCACACACAGGGACCACAGAGCACGGTCAGCACTTTGACGGTGCCTCCTTCATCGGGGGGATGATTCTGATGGCTGGCTTGTTTATCATTGGATTTTTTGCCTTAAAGTTCTACCGAGCACGCAAGGATAGGAGCTACCGCACGCTGTGATTTTCAGCCAATTAAATCTGATTTTGCCATTTGCCTCTGAATTCAGGATGTGTCAACTATTTAATACAGTGGAAATATAGGTCTTAAGTTTTCATAGTCAAAATCAATTTCATTGTATAAATAAAAGTCTATTTAAGAATAACTGGTGCTCCCATTAAAATAGAAATGCATTAAGAAGCCAAAATAGAAATAAAGAAAGAAAATCTATATTTTTACTGGAACCACTTGCTCAGCATTGCACTATATATTTTTATAATGCTCAGATTTATAAAATTGTTTGAACTTTTATGTATATTCTTTGGCAAACGGATATGCTTACTTTTTTCTTTTGGGTGTTTGGCAATAGTAAGGGTAAGATTTAAGATATGTTTACTCATTGGATTAGTTACTTGTGGAGTCGTGTGCTGTAGTTTATATATATATATATATCTGTTTTAAGCTCACCCAGTACACAAGATAATCTCAAAAACGTCCTTTTTTAAGCTGCAAAAGCTAATTTTCTCGTCTATGAATGTTTGATCTGATATTCAGTACTAAGTTTTTATCTGAACTGGTTTTAACCTGTTTACTTTGACAGGATTTAAAGTAATGAATGATCTGATTGGTCTTTATGGACGGGATTAAGTCATGATTGATCTGATTGGTTCATATGTTATAGTTGATCTGATTGGTTATATGTAATAAAAGATCTGATTGGTTTTAAAGGATTTTGGTTATTGTATCTGACATAAAGCATTTGTAAAAACTGATCTGATTGGCTTTCCTTTTCTTCTTGGTTAGTAGTTGACAAGCAGTGCTTCATACATAAAATGGGAAATATTTTACTTTGTTCATCTAAAATGTATTTCTTTGTGAAAAAATAAAAGATCTTTTCCTTGTGTAACGTACATTTTTTTCCAATGAGACATATAATTTCTTTCAATCAATGTACATGTTTTAGTCAGATTGTATGTAGATAGGTTCATGTGTTTATAAAGCAGATTTCAAATACACAACAGAAAACATTTTTATTGAATATTATTATAATTGTTTTTATTTGCAGTGCTTATTGAGAAAAAAAAATTAAAATACATTATGCAACAGTTCATAATTAAAATGCTTGCTAAAATATTTGCTGTTAATTGAGATGTAATTTTTTTCTGCCATATAGTTTCTATTTTATAACTCTTGATATTTTTGATGTGTGATTTATGATTGTTGTGGGAGGAGGGTTGAATTGGAGGGAAGGTCAGAACTAGTGACCGTAACATAAAACTGCACGCCGCGGTCTGTTACTGAGTCAAACTGGTGATAATATAACACATTCCATGTCATCCCTGTTTTATTGCCTTGTGTACAAAATGTCATCCAATCATTATAGTCTACTAAAGTACATGTAAAAGCTAAAAATTAGCCTCCCTTGTGTATGTGCAAAAAATTACCCAGACATTACTTTAAAATAATTTTTTCTTTTCATACAGACTAAAATTGTATTGATGTAATTTCTGATCTCTGAGTGTTGATAGCTTGAGTTTTTGATTATGTCATGTCATTTTGACCATGTTTGGGAAGTGTTGCGAGATTGTGTGTTAACGAAGTTCAGTCGATAGATATTAATATATATAATAATCATGTATACTTAGAATTAAGTGCTATGGGTTTATTATTCAAGTGCCTACATTGCATCACATTTGTCATTATGGTCCTCATTCTGTCAGATTTGTTATGTTAACTCTATACCATCAGGAAGTGTAGAAAATCTGAAGAGAAATGGTTCAGATGAGAACAGTTTTTTGAGGATTATTTATACAAACATTTTCCAAATTCTAGGTACTGCTAGATACATTATAAAGAAATAAAGTTTGAAAACTTGTATTAAAACATATGATTTGTTTGAAAGTAAATTTCTCACTGAAATTTTATTTTGTACATATATTCTAAGGATGTTTGAATTGTATACAAAGATAATTTCTGGAGAAATTATGATTATAATTCTGAGTTGTTTATTATTTGTGGGGTCAGGCATACCACGGTATACAGGCATCACTGTGACCCACATTTATCACAAAATTGTGGTTTGTCTGTTTGTTTGTTTGTGAATGAGTTATATGTATTCAATCAAAGCCTTATCAGAATTTATTTATAAAGGTAGTAAAAGCTAAGGGGAGATAATATGTCTCTGCAACCAACACTGATAATGAAGCATATTCCCCAAAGTCTGAAAACAGAAATTGGCTTTCATATGTAGATATGTCTAAAATTTGACTAGAATTAATATTGGACTGGGTTTCCTGTGACAAGTTGTTCAATATACCTGTAAAATTTAACTTTGTTTTCCATTTAAATTGTAATAAAATCCTGATTATTACTGTAGCTCATGTTGGTTTTTGGTGTATGATCGCTTACGCCTTGCTACTTACTGTCTTTGTTGAATCACCAGAGAAAAAAGAGGTCAATATCCATCTTTCATAAGTTTATGTATGTGTTAAAGTGTACATAATATATTTTTGTGTTAATATAAATTGTTTATAATTTTTCCAACTGGTCAGAGGTATGATGTTTGTTGCTTATTTTTTTGAATGTGGTGATCATATCATTTTTCTTTTTTTTTTTTTTTTAATTAAGATTTAATGAGCAACTGGTGAAATAAAGCAATATTGTAAGTAAACTTGTTTAAGAGATACACAAGTTACTTCAAGAATTACAAAGCAACTAGCACTATAACAGTTCTATTTTTAAATGTATGTAGTTCAGTTGGTAACTTTTATTATTCATATCACAAAAATGCCAAAATTGTTGTA